ATTTGAGAAGCATGTTTACTAAAAAAATCTTATGTGTTAACACTTAAAGAAAAATTAGTGCAAAAAATGTTACATCATAAATGTGACATGACAAATTTCTTAAAATAAACGAAATATTTTAATTGGTTAAACTTAAACTAAAGAAATCTCATTTTTAAATAAGAAAAAAGTTTATGTCATCTGTGAAAGAATTCTTATTATATAGAAATAATTCGAAATTATAAATGAAACAAAAAAATAAACAGAGAGAAAAAAAATTGTAGGTATCCTCTTAGCCAACTTTTTTTTTATTATAATATTGTATATATGAATAAAAAGTAGAAGTAAAAGTAAAAATGAATCTTTACGATTTTGGTTTTATGTAAAACTCTCAGGTTATATTTTTGATTTAAAGCATCTCCAACTCCTCTTTATTTTAAATGTTCTAATTTAGAGGAAAAAGAAATGTTGTTACTTTTTCCTTCAATTATAGAGGAAAAAATAATAATATTTTTTTCCTATAAAATAGAAATAGGTTGGAACGAAGTCCACTTATATTTTAGAAGGAAAAATAAAAAAAATATATTTGAGATGATCTTAATGTTAAATATACTATTAAAGATTAAAACAAAACATGAGCCAAAGAAGAGAAAAAATATATAAGAATAATTTTAATTGATTCTATATTTTTATTTAAAATATTTAAAAATGTTATCTTACACATATTAATTCTTTCATGCATATATTTTTTTTTAACATGTTAAAACATTATTTCATGAATCAAATTTTGTATATGTTGTGATCAATTATATTTTATATTAACAAATATATTAAAGTGAGGAACAGATCAACTCTTAATTTTTAATATAACAATCAAATTTTAAATTAAATCACTACAAAAACAGGTGTATTGTATCACTTATTTTAAATATTTGTGTTAGTTATAATTGATACAAACATGTTTTACATCACTTGTAAAACTGACTCTGAATGTGGTGATGCAAATAATTAACATCAGTTAACTATCAATTGATGCAAATATATTTTATTTTTGCATCGATTGTTGAAATCAATGTCAATATGTGTCAATTACAAAAAACTGATGTTATCGTTTGCATCATTTTTTATTATTGATATTCGTATTTGCGATGATTATAACAAATGATGTTAATATAAGTTTAGTTTAATATTATGATTATATTCAGATGTTCAAAATAATTTAAATTTATTATTATTTCCAGATATATTTATAATAATATTATTATTTTAATCCAAAATTTATGCTTTAGTAATATTTTGATAGACCAAAAAATTCGAAATTAATTTTATTGGCTTGTAAATATAAATATTAGGTACTTAAGTTTTGATATATATAGACATGTTTTTTCTTTCATTTTTTATCAATTAGCGATGTAGGACAAAGTTCAAAAAGTTAGTTACATCAGTTTTAACTGATATAAAATTTATATTATTTTTTAAATATTGTTAACCAAAATTATTGATTACATCGATTATTTAACTGATTTGAATACATAATTTTATATCAATTTTATTTTAGTGATGTAAACTTATATAATTTTATATCAATTTTATTGAACTGAAGTTAAATAATCAATAAAAGCATCAATTATGATAAATGATGTTAAATCATATATTTTGTATCATTTATTAATAAGTAATTTAAAATTTATATCATTTAGTTTTGTGATACAATTTAAGTGGTGTAATCAATTCTTTTTTTTTTGTAGTGAATCATACACATATAAATTTAGATCCGATTGGCTTAAACGATTATGTTACAGAGAGTTTGTGGAAGCGAGTGACTGCGGATTATAAGAAATTTGATGAAGAGATGAGCGGAGAGCTATCAGAGAATTTTATAAAATATGATTTCACAAATTTTGTAATAAATTTTTATTGAGAAACCATATATCATAAAACACTGAAAAATAAGAAATTTTGATTAAATACAAAACGATAGAAACGGTTTTCGTGATTGTTGTTAAACACCAATAACTGCATCGTGTAAAAATATAACGTTTGCGGAAAATATCAAAAAACTTACCAACACCTAAATATTACAATTCACTTATTTCTAACTCATATCTAAATACATAAATATACTTATTATTATATTTTTTTGAAAAAATTAATCATACATTATAAAAATATGTATTACAAAACATATACTTTGTTATTTTCTTTTAACACATAAAAACCATACTTTAATTTTCTCACAAATGTGCAGGTAGATATAAATATTAATTGTGCAAAAATTAAACTTTCATGTAAATTTGTCGTGCATACATTTTATTAATCTCGATTACACTCTAATTTTAATTTTAGTTATTAGATAATTTATATATATTTTTACAAAAATCTTTATATTCTTGTGTACCAACCACCTCAACGCTCTTAGGATAAGTAAATATGGTAAAATTCATTTTGGTTTATTTAGCAATAGGTCAAGGAAAAAATATTTAATATATATATCTATATATATATATATTTGCAAGATTATATTGTGTAAGGAGAAAAAAAAAGTATAGTATAGATAATATTCAAAACATATTATATGAATTTAATTATTATTTAATATAACTTTTAGATTTACAATTATTTGTTACTGTAAACGTTAAAAAAAATAAAAAATTTCAAAAGACACAAAACGTGAGTTTGTTCCTTTTGTTAGGAATTCAACATCTTCTTATACCAAAGGTCATAAGGGATAAGGTTGTTCCTTTGTTAGGAACCCTATTTAATAAATAACAAGCTGTTAACATAGCTTCACCCCAAAATCCGTCACTCAATCCCCAGTAGGATAACATGGAATTAACCATGTCCTTTAGGGCTCTATTTTTCCTCTCTGATACACCATTTTTTGTGGTGTATAAGGAGCTGTAGTTTCATGTATGATTCCTACTTACTGGAAATATACAGGATCATAATACTCTCCACCTCTATTAGTGCGTAATTTCTTAATCAAGTCATTCTGTTGTAATTCAACCTCAGTTTTATAAACTTTAAATTTATCTATGGCCTCATCTTTAGCATGTAATAAATATACATAACAAAAACGACTATAATCATTAATGACCTTGATGAAGTATTTTTTGTTTCTTAAAGATGGTGTAGCATGCAAGTCACATAGATCACTATGTATAAGTCCTAGCACTACAGAATTTCTTTCAATATCTTTAAAAGGATTTCTAACTATCTTATTTAACATGCAAGTACTACACTTTTCTATATTAATGTCAAAAGTAGGAATTAATCCTTCTTTAGATATATCAATCATACGCTTATAATGTACATGACCTAATCTTGCGTGCCATAGAGAAGTATCATTTCTACTAGAACTTGCAATATAAATAGAATTGATAACTTTATTAATATTAAGCATAAACATGCCATTACAGAAATATCCAAATCCAACAAATATACCACACTTCGAGAAGACATACTTATCGGATTCATACACTTGTTTATAACCATACTTATTTAAAACACTACCAGAGACTAAGTTTTTCCTAATTCCGGATACATGAAGTACATTCTCAAGATTAATAGTTTTTCTGGAACTAAATTCTAACATCACTTTTCCACGACCTAGGATAGGGGCAGTTGACTCGTTTCCCATATGAAGTGCATATCTATCTTGAACAGGTTCATATGTCTTTAACCATCCACGATCCTTGCAAACATGTGTTGTTGCACCCGAGTCAATCCACCACATCACTTCATCATCCTGCACATAAAATGCCTCAGAAATCTTTGTTACATAGTTCAGATTAGAATATGAATAAAAAACAGAGATCTAATTTGATGAGTGGATGGGCCTTGGTCCTTAGACCCTTGCCCCAAACGGTTCTGTCCCCTTATATTCTTATCCTTTCCTCCCCGAAAATCACGTCTCAAGTGACCAGGTTTATTACAATTCCAACAAATGCTCTTAAGCCTTTTGTTAGATCCATAGTTAGTGTTATTATTAAATGGGCATTTCTTCCCTTTATTATTCATCTTAGAACTCCCATTTACCTCCATCATGTTGATGGAAGAATATCCAGTCTCTTTGGGTTTTTCTTCCTCTTGCGCTCTTAGAGATTCCTATGCGCAAATGGCTGCCAAGTTGTACGAGTGACAACTCTTCCTTTTAGTGTTTCAACATGTGTTTAAAATCCTTCCAAGAAGGTGGTAACTTATCGATGATACTCGACACTGAGATAGATTCATCCATCTTCATATTGTGTTGGGCCAATTGCCCTAGGATGCGAAGCAATTCATTGTATTGCTCCATAACTGGTCTAGAATTAGGCATCTTGTAATTATTAAAATTATTCACAAGGAACTTCTTACTAGAAGCATCCTTGGCCATGTACTTTGATTCTAATGCATCCCACAATTCTTTTGCGGATTCAACATTCTGTTAAATATCAAAGAGTGGATCTGACATGTCGAGTGCAAGAGACCCTGAAAAAGCATTAAGGTGACATTAAGCTATGTTTCGAAGTCAAAAGTAAAGAAGATACTATAAAGAGAAGTGGTTTGGTTTGGTTTTATTTTATACCCCAATGTATAGACTTTCTAAACGTGGACAGCTCCTTAGAAGAGGTGGCATTACTTGCCATCCTTGAATCTCTGACTGTCTTAATATCTAAGGCTGTAACTGGTGACCATAAGGAATGAAAAAGAATACTAAATTCCTTATCATTCCTTAAAAATTTCACCATTTAAAAGGAATATATTGCACCCATCATTCCTTCTCATTCTTTATGTTTTAGGAAACTATAATGTTAATATATTCCCTATAAAAATGAGAAAGAATAATAATTCCTATTATTTTGTTCCTTTCATTCCTTTTCCTATTCATTCTTATTGTTACTTTTATGGTCACCAGTTAAAGCCTAAAACTGTAAGTTTTTTTGAACAGCAAAGAGCAAGCGCCTGAAAACAAGAGACATTGTTATGTTTCGACTTCTCTCAGGTCTCCTTATTTAAAAAAATCAGCTGAAAAACTAGCATTACAAAAGAAACTGAAACAGAAACCTGACCTTGAAGGAAACAGGAGATACGTGAAGTATATTCACATTTTGTATGCCATTAATAAGCTTCACCACATTAGCTCTTGCTCGACGGGTTCGATCTTCAGTTAATGCAAGGTTGATCCCAGCCTCCACTAAGTTTGTCAAGTTAACTAATGGATAATCATCCGCAACAGAATCAGCGTAGTCGAAGAAGACAGGATTCGGTGTATGTGTATCAATTGAAAAAGTGCCTAAACAGCCGCCTTTGGAAGTAATCTTTAGCTTCTTAAGGGTTGAACTTGACAAGACCACATTCCTATCTCTCCACCATATATTAAGCAACATTAGTTCCTCAAGGGCAGGAAAATCAGGAAGAAGTGTCTGAAACGGACCCCTACCAAACCTAACTGAGTCAAGAACAAGTGTCTTAAGCATCGGTAAGCACATGTCGTCGTCCCACGCATTAAGGTCAACTCAATATCCTGCTTTCAGCTCGACTAATGTCTCGCTGACAGATATATCATAAGGCAGAGAATAATCTCCATCAAATTTCATGAACAGGTCAAGGTGAGAAACACCTGTTACGGAATTTGCCTTCGAAGAGTAGTTAACTTTCGATTGTTTGCTAGTTTAGATTAACGATTTGGTGAGTTAAGTGAAAAACAATAGACACGACAGTTTGTTTACCCAGTTTCCTTTCAGTACGTTTGGGGAGAGATCGAAACTCTCAAGCGTTGCACTATATCAAAAGAATAACAGAGATTGTTTTCTCTTTTGTTACAGGTTTTGTCTCGCTTGCTCTCTCTCTCTTGCTAATGAAGATTCTCAATGGAGCTATATATAGTTACTGGTGTAAACTATATCTCTAAGATGAGAACTAAGTAACTGGAGATGATAACGCTCAAGAGAATCTAAGTGAATCTCTCTTTTTTATCTCATCTGTTTCGTTTCTATCTCAGAACAACGAACAGACTTCGTTCTCTTCTTTATGTGCAGCATGATGGGCTTTAGCTTTCACAGCCCATATACTTCTCGCCTTCTTGTCTCCTTTGAGGACAAGCCCACTAAGTGCTGGCCCAAGACAAATAGCTCACAAACTCCACCTTTGTCGATGGGTCACTCCCATTTTCCCGACAAAACATGACTTCGACTTCTCCGTCCAATGCTCCGCTAACTCGATCTCTCTTTCCGGCGAAACTCCGACTTCACCGCCGGCCGCCGCTATAGTCGTCTTCACTGACAACTTAAATCACATGAGAGGTAAACCGATTTTTTTTTCTTCAAATCTTCCTCTCGTTGATTTTATAAAACCTCAAGCTTTACCAAAGCTAAACTCCTCTCTTCGTCACTTTTCAGCTTTAAGAAGATCTAGTACAACCGAACCCAGATTTTTCTGTCAAGGTAATCGATTGAAACCCTAAGCTTCTGCTCTTGATTTTAGTATCCCATTCTTCCTTACTTGACCGAATATATGAAGAATGGCTTTGTCGATTTTAATGTCTGAAGAACTGATATCGCTCTTCTTTTCTGTCTACGAGGCGAGATAGTCAATCGACAGGAGTACCTCGCTCGTCTGCGACCTTGAATCAGGTGATGATCCTGAGCGTGGCAAGGCACTGCTAGAAACTCTTGCCAGGTACGCTCTTAGTTAGGAAATCTGCTGGATTTAGGCTTGTATGAACCTTCTGTAGGCTGGTAGATCCATCGTTCACTAGGTCTTTGATGAAATGGTATTTAGTGTCGATGTGCTTAGTCCTATCATGATGAACTGCATTTTTAGCTAGATATATCACACTTTGTGAATCGCAATATAGACTAAAGCATTCAGACTTAAACCCCAATTCTTCACAAATTCACGTAAGCTAAATCCCTTCCTTTGCTGCTTCTGTGAGAGCTATGTACTCAGCCTCCATGGTTGATAAAGCCACTACTGGCTGTAACTGTGCTCTCCAGCTTACAGTATTCCCTCCAACTTGAAACACATAAGCTGAAACTGATCTGCGCCTGTCTAAATCAGTGGCATAATCTGAGTCGCTAAACCCAACTATATCAAACTTCTCTTGTTTCGTGAAAGTTAAGCAGATATCCAACGCTCCTGTGATATATTTCAACACCCATCTGACTGCTGCCCAATGAACTCTTCCTGGCTGAGCCATAAACCTGCTAACTAGGCATATAGCAAAACCCAAATCTGGCCGAGAACCAATCATGGCATACATCAGACTACCTACTGCGCTTGCGTATGGCACCTTATCCATATATTCAGCTTCTGATAACACCTCTTCTTCTGAAAGCCCCCTTAGCTTAAACTGCGAACTCGTTGGTGTTATTACTGCCTTAGCTCCTTCCATGTTGAACGTTTTCAGAACCTGTCTCAAATACTTTTCCTGAGATAGCTTGATAACTCCTCTTTTTCTGTCTCTGATGATATCCATTCCTAGGATTCTGGTCGCAGGACCTAGATCCTTCATCTCAAATTCTTTCATCAAATTTTTCTTTAAATTTTGAATCTTCTTGGGATCCTTTGCTGCCACCAATATATCATCGACATATAGGAGGAGATATATCCTATCCTCAATTGTAGTTCCGATATAGTACACACATGTATCATGTTTGCTCTGTGTGAAACCTTGAGCCTTCATGAATTCATCAAACCGATGATTCCACTGCCTAGGCGACTGCTTCAATTCGTACAGCGACTTCTTCAGCAGACACACCCCTGATTCTTTTCCTTTCTCTATAAACCCTTCTGGTTGGTTCATATAGATTTTCTCATCTAGTGATCCATGAAGAAATGCTGTTTTAACGTCCAGCTGTTCCAACTCCAGATCAAAGTTAACCACAATGGATAACAAAATCCTGATCGAAACATGCTTGACCACTGGAGAGAAGATTTCATTGTAGTCTATTCCTTCAATTTGTGTGAACCCCTTAGCTACCAATCGAGCCTTGAATCTTGGTAACTCTACTCCAGGAATTCCCTCTTTGTATTTGAAAATCCATTTGCAGCCTACAATTTTCTTCCTGTTTGGCTTAGGAACAACTTCCCAAGTACCATTCTTGTACAAGGAATCCATTTCTTCTTTCATAGCTTGTTTCCACTCCTCCCAGTATATGCTTCTCATAGCTTCAGCGACGGTCCTTGGCTCGTCAATTTCAATGTTTTGAGCGCACACGAGTGCATATGTCACGTAATCTCCACACGTGTATATCAATGATTTTTTCTTAAGTCAAGATTCTTTATCTCTCATCAGAATATATTCATCGAGAGACTCTGGGTCGACATTCTCCTGAGTTTGTTCCTGATCACATTGCACAGATAACTCATGTTCTACCTCTTGTTCTGATTCCTGTTCTGACTCTGAGTTGTCTTCTTCGGATGAAGCTCCACCTGACCCTGATGGGGACTCATCTGATCCAGATGTTGCTCCACCTGACCTGACATTACTGCTTTTCTGACCATGTTCGAAAGTGATTGTATTCCCCTTCTTAAGCTTCGTAGCCCTTTCTCGAGTCCTGTCTTTGAACACTAGTTCTTCGTGAAACACCACATTTCGGTTTGTAATGCACTTCTCCTGTTCTGGAATCCAAATCCTATAACCTTTAACTCCTTGAGGGTACCCCATGAAGTATCCTTTTACAGCTCTAGGACTCACTTTGTCTTGTGTAACGTGAACATAAGCTACACTTCCAAACCTTCTTAGGTGATCGTAACTGATCTTACAGCCAGACCACAGTTCCTCTGGAATTTTAATCTCCAACGCTGACGTGGGAGATCTGTTAATCAAGTACACGGCCGTAGAAGCAGCCTCTGCCCAGAACTGCTTTCCAAATCCTGTCTCCGCCAACATGCATCTGACTTTGTTCATGATGGTGCGATTCATCCTCTCAGAGACCCCGTTCTGCTGTGGGGTGTAGGAACACGTCTTGTGTCTTGTGATTCCTGAAGACTTACACAGATCGTCGAACTGGTTGTTGCAAAATTCAAGCCCATTGTCTGTTCTAAGATACTTCACCTTCTTCTCTTTCTGATTTTCCACTAACTGTTTCCACTCTTTAAAGCTTTGAAATGCTTTATCTTTAGTTTTAAGAAATCTGATCCACACCTTTCGTGAGTAATCATCGATGAAGGTGATGAAGTACTTGCAACCTGAAAGACTTTCTTCCATTCCTGGTGAACCCCAAAGGTCCGAATGAATGTATTCCAGTACTCCCGTAGATGTGTGTTTACCTTTTGGAAAACTTTGTCTTTGAAACTTTCCCAAAACACATTCTTCGCAGAACTCAAGTGTTTGAACTTCCTTGTTATTCAGATATCCTCCTTTAACGAGGGCATTCATACACTTCAGACTCATGTGACCCAACCTTGAATGCCATCTCTTTGTTGTGTCAATGTTTGGTCTTGCTACAGACGCTACTCCCTTTTCTATGGATCCCACCAAGTAGTACAGTCCGTCTTTGTACTCTTCGGAGATGACTCCTTTTCCATTCTTGTAGAATTTTACCACAAAATCTTCTCCCTGATATTTGCAGCCATTCTTTTCTAGTTGGCCGTATGATATCAGGTTTTTGCTCATGGTTGGCATATATCTGACATCCATCAAGACCACAGCCGACCCATCTGGATTCGTAATCTTCAGTTTACCGATGCCCTTCACCTCACTGAACGTGTTATTTCCCATCAGCACTTTGCCTCCTTCGACTTCTTGAAAATCAAAACAATACATCTTTATTTGGCGTGATGTGGAATGTACACCCTGAATCCATGACCCACTCATCTTTTGGGTCTTGTACACTCGCAGTTAAGACCATAGGCTCATTATCCTTAGCGAGATTAGCTGCATTCGCCTTTCTCTCTGGACAGTCTCGTTTGTAGTGACCTTCTTTGCCGCAAGTCCAACATTCTCTTGCCGTTCCTTGGCCTTTCGGTTTGGACTTTGATTTGTCTTTACTCTTCCCTTTTCTCTTAGAGTAAGACTCATATTTCTTCTCAGTTTTTTTTTACCAGCATAGAGTCCTTCTCCTTCGCTTCTGGATTTTCCTGAGATTCCAGCTTCACGCAGCTCAATCTCCTTGGCTGTTGCAGCGGTGACAACTTCTTCTAGTGACAATGGTTCATCGCGTTTTTCGTACTTCAAGGTGTGTACCAACGTTGAGTATGCCTTCAGTAATCCTGATAAAACTTGTACAGCCTGATCTTCATCTGTCACCTTGATTTCAAGGCTTTCTAAGTCATCTATTAGCCGCAGAAACACGTCCATATTTTCGTCTATACTCTTGTGTTCTTCCATCTTGAAGCTAGCAAACCGTTGCTTTAGGTAGACCCTATTTGGTAGAATCTTTGTTTGGTAATCTCTTTCGAGAGCTTTCCATACATCTGCAGCAGTAGGCTCTTTCATGACCTTTCTAAGAACTATATTTGTGAGACTAGAGCATATCATGTTCTTTGCTCTCACATCTCTTTCCTTCTTGGCCTCTTCTGAAAGAACAGCTGCAGGTTTTGTCTCGGGAATTACTATCCTGATTCCTTTACCTTTTGATGGAGTAGTTCCGGTGACTTCTTGGATGATGCTCCCCAGACCTTGCAATTCCAGTTGCATCAGCATCTTGAACTTCCACATACCAAAATCACCTTTCCCATCAAATTTTTCCATCTCAAACTTCTGGACAGGATCCATAACTCCTCCCCGTGTCGTCACCGTTTACCACAGAGTCCCTGAGTTTTGACTCTGTCTACGGTACTTAACTTGAACACCACAATCCGATCGGTCCCAGCTGCACGCAGACTTGGATGCTTGACCGCACTCCCCTTCCTACTGACCCCGCAGCTCTGATACCACTTGTTACGGAATTTGCCTTCGAAGAGTAGTTAACTTTCGATTGTTTGCTAGTTTAGATTAACGATTTGGTGAGTTAAGTGAAAGAACAATAGACACGGCAGTTTGTTTACCCAGTTCCCTTTCGGTACGTTTGGGGAGAGATCAAAACTCTCAAGCGTTGCACTATATCAAAAGAATAACAGAGATTGTTTTCTCTTTTGTTACAGGTTTTGTCTCGCTTGCTCTCTCTCTCTTGCTAATGAAGATTCTCAATGGAGCTATATATAGTTACTGGTGTAAACTATATCCCTAAGATGAGAACTAAATAACCGGAGATGATAACGCTCAAGAGAATCTAGGTGAATCTCTCTTCTTTATCTCCTCTGTTTCGTTTCTATCTCAGAACAACGAACAGACTTCGTTCTCTTCTTTATGTGCAGCATGATGGGCTTCAGCTTTCACAGCCCATATACTTCTCGCCTTCTTGTCTCCTTTGATGACAAGCCCACTAAGTGCTGGCCCAAGACAAATAGCTCACAACACCGCGTCGCAACACGTCACGTATCCAACAATCCACAAGATCAGGGTCAACACCAGTTTTTACTTTCAAAGAAAATTCCTTGATGGGAGAATCCCCCTGCAATGCCAAAACCCTATCCACAAAATCCATAAAACTCTGAACAACACCATCCTTATCCCGTTTACCATATTTGGCATTGAGAAAGTCAGAGTCGTGGAGATCCAGATTAGGGACACACGCAAACAGACTACGCCAGCTCTTTGCGAGAACCGATGTGGAAGCAGCCTCCTTTGTTGACAAGATATGAGAAATAACCGCATCAGGTAACTTCATGAAGAGATCCATCTTCTCCGGTTCCATTGATTTACACAAATCCCCTAAGCAAATCCAATCACCAAGCCATACATAATTTACCAAGAACAGAGCAATAAGAAGGAAAAATAAAAGAGGAGAAATCTAGTCAAACTGGAAGCCACTAAAAGAAAATTACCTTTAAATGGCGATTGATTCGGAGTTCCTAAATCACGGGATAACTAAATCGCCCAATAGAAGACCCCAACTAAAAATATGAAGATTAGAGTTAACTTGGGGGCACGAAGAAGAAGTCGGTTACTTTCAGATTTGAGGGAAAGGCAAACGCAGACTCTGCAGCAGAGCAACACCCAAAAAATTAAGGTACAATTCGTGTGGGAAAAAAAAAGGAGGCGTGAGTGGCAAGTTTTCTATGGCGGGAATGTAAAAAGTCAATAATCTCTCAATGCGTTGAAACAGTGCATCTCAGCATAGGCCAAAGCAAGACGTAGCGTTTTTGTTTTCTATCATTTATTTTGTATTAGGTGATTCGGGTTATAAAACATCTTATATGTCCTATATATAATTAATATTGTATGTAAAAGATGCTTTATTTGTATAATGACCATGATTCAATGAATGCGCTTTTGATGTTAAGAAAGAAAAAAAAACTCATGAAAGCAAAGTGTGTACTAAAATCAAGTAAAAGGTAAACGAGAGCAAGTAAAAAGGATCAAAGATTAGTTAGTTCTTTGATCCATTACTTAGTTTTGCAGGAAAAAAACTTGAGCATTATCAACAAATACTCCTTTTAGCTTCTAAACCCAGAATTCAAGCAACATTGGCATTAAACAATTTTGATTTTTTTTGTTTTTTTTTTTAAACTTCCTCGTAGACAATTTCACTGTGCCGTCCAAGGCAAGGACCCGTGCACCTTGAATTTAACATTGGGACTGCGACCCGATAAATCGTTGTAACGCATCAGCATCTCCGTGTTAAGTTCTGACACTAAAGGGGAAATGAACCGTTGAGTCGTTGACACTCTGCAATATAGAGCTCCATCTCCTTCAAACACAAAAGATAGTCCAAGAAATACTTTACCATCTCTAAATCTCTGGTGACTCCATCAAACTCTCGAATCTCTAACCTCTTAACCGGAGAAGATACGAGGGAACGGCCTTTATCCTCCCGAGAGATGCAGATACATGCATCCCCGCATTTATCCGTCCAGAAAGGAGACAATTATTGGGAATTCAACATCTCTGTAAATAGCCAATTCCTTCCAATGCAAATATGATATTTAGTTCCATAAACTGATAAACATTATAGGTTTGCTTCTTCGTCCATTGTTTCTCTTCTTTTCTGATTGAGGACTTGTCATTTTTTGTTTTAGCATTTAGTTTATTGAAATATCCATCTGCATGAATTTGTGAACATATAGATTATAGTTATTTACTTTCATAGTGTCTCTTATGTGTGTTATTGAAATGTAGAAAATAAAAAACTGATAACTGAAAAGAAGTGCTACATAGACAAAAGGGAATGGAACTTTCAAGAGAGCCAGTTGAGCTAAACAGTGGTGATTGGAAAGTTAAAATGTAGTCCCTTAGATTGGTGGAAGGATATTAACTATGACACATGTTGTAACACCCCGACCCGGCCATCCTTGACCCCGGTACGAGAGTTACATGTTCAAGCCGCATTCCTCGGCTGAACCTCCCTTTTAAAGTTTTTTCCTAGCAAATCTTCTATATGAGGTTTGATTGCTAGACTGTCTTATGCAGCGGAAATCTCCAAGTATTTAAAACTATACTTTTTCTTGGTTTTAGCTTAACCAAGCACTTGCCGGTCTGATGATCTCTTGCGTTCGGTAGCCCACTTGACCACCGTTCAGCTCGGACATCAATCCTGGACTCGAACAAGCTAAGCATCTTATGATACAACCGTTCCATTCCCCTAGACCATTCTACTTAGAACTAGGCTAGTGACTATCTAGGTAGAGTAACGTTCCAGCTACGGACTAGTCATCATCCTAGCCATCCAGTTCAAGTCTTAGTCTAGTCGATACCCTAGCTATTTCAATCCAGCTACAGTCTTAGCTAATCCATACCTTAGCCATATTCACAAGGTGTAGCTGCACCTTCACTAACTCCTTTGTCCCTCCAGTCAGCTGAGCTCAGCTGATCATGCTCATGGTTGTGCAATCAGCTCCCTTAGCTTATACACCATCTCCGATCATTCCTTAGTCATTCAACCAACCATCCCCACATGACTAGGTTAGATCAGAGAGGCTATTCAGCCCCATGGCATGACTAGGGTCGTCCCTTAGGATCGCCCGTTCATCCGTGTCCTTCCCCTTGCGGTTTAGTCCAACCGTACACTCGTTCTCCCGATGACTTCATGATATCTCCCGATCATTGTCATGTTTCTCTCGACCAAAGTCAGAGTTCCTAGCTAACGCCTGACTAGAATAGTGAGAAATGATCCAATCCGGATCATTTCATCTGACCATTCATCCTACCGTCACGACCATTCGCCAACCGTCGTGGCCATTCTCGGGATACTGGACTAGTATCCCGTGGCCGTGGTCAATCCTCCAATATGGCTTCCCGATTCCACCGATGTTCAGCTGAAATCATTTTCACGTGCCTACTCGTGTTTTCTCACGGTCCTGGTCACGTTTTCTCGGATATAATCCTGCTTCTCTCGGTAATAGCCACGCTTCACCCGATCATAGTCGAGGACGTCCGGCTATCTCCCGATCGTAGCCCGTTTCATCCGACCATCCCCGAGAGATCTCACGACCCTCGGTAAGGATCCTTCGGTAATCCGATTGCCCCGGATAATCTCTCGGACGAAATTCTTCCCTTCGGCCGTTCTCTCGGTACGATATGATTTCCCTCGGCTATCTTCTCAGTACAGCCGTCTTCTCTCGGTGATAGTCAAGATCCGATCCTCGGATCTCCCGTGTCTCCCGACTATCACCGCGAGACTGCCGGGTAATCTTCTACGCTTCCGGATATCTCTCCTTTCACTCAGACGAACATCCATCGCCTGGAGTTTCTCTCGGATATGGTCAGCATATATCTGTTTCTCCCGGTGATAGTCACGAACCGTTCCGGCGATCCTACGCGTCATCCGGCTATCACCGCGAGACTGTCGGGTAATCTTCTCCTCTTCCGGATATCCCTCCTTTCTCTCGGGCGAACATCCATCGCTCGGAGTTTCTCTCGGATGTAATCACGGCTTGACCGTTTTTCTCGGATATAGTCACAAACCGATCTACCGATCATTCGCATCACCGAACAATACTCGCGAGACATCCGACTATCATCGGGATATTGCCGGGCTATTCTTCTTCCTTGTCGGATATCACCCCTTTCTCTCGGATATGGTAACGGAATGACAGCTTCTCTCGGATGAAGTCACGAATTGACCCACCGATCCTTTGCATCATCCGACTACCCTCGGGAGACATCCGACCATTCTTCTTTATCTTTCTGATAACTTGCCATTCTCTCGGCTAAGTTTGCCTTTCTCGGATGATCTTCACCTTCTCGCGGGTATATCCCTTTTCACTCGGATGACACTGGACTTCTCTCGGATAAGGTCCGAGTTACTCCGGCGGCGACCTGACTGGAATGCGGACATCCCTGTTTCTCCCGGACCATCTCTGATTCTCTCCCGGATAAAATCCCTTATCTGGTTCTTCACTCGGCGATTCTCATTTATCTCGATCATCTCTCGGATCATCTCTGCGTCTCCTGGATGATCTTCGATTCTCTCCCGGATAAATTCCCTTATCCTGTTTTTCACTCGGCGATTCCCTTTTATCCCGATCATCTCTCGGACATTCTCTATTTCTCCCGGACCATCTCTGAGTCCCTCGGATGATCCCCATTTTCTCTCGGATAAATCCTCTTTCTCCCGGACAATACCGAACTTCTCTCGGATATGGTCGGAGCACGCCGGCGCCGACTGGACTGGAATCTGGATATCACATTTTCTCTCGGATATCTTCGAGATAAATCGCCTTAGGCGTGAGAGATAATAGATTTTCCACGAAAATCCATCCTTATAAAGCCAATGGGCGGGTTTCTTGTCCAAAAACCGTCCACCCTTCATACCCCAATCTCAGCCATTGATTCTTTTAATGGCCAGGATTGCACCCTTTGGATCATGGGCAGTTATTTGGCCATAACCACTTTTGGCCGAGCTCCACCTGTCCAGCTGACTTACCACTACTTCAGTCACACCTTAGCTCGGTATCTAGCTGGTCAGTCCGCCCAGCTGGGTCAGTACTCGATCAGCTGACTGAGCTAGGTTGAGCTGCCGGTCAGCTAGTAGTCAGCTTGTTCAGCTATTAGTGAGCTGGTCCAGCTAGTAGTCAGTTACTTCAGCTTATCCAGCTCAACTATTCTTGCAAGCTTGACGATTCTGAATCATCTGATCCGACTAAGTCCTTCGGACTTGTTTCTCGATCTTGACTAAGTCGTTTCCTTAACTTATTCACGATCAGTCCCTTTGATCTGAACCAAGTCACACTTTTTCCTCGATACAAACAGGCCCACTATCCCAAGCCGGGATAGGGATGCCACACATGTTCCCTCACGTAATGATATACCGATAAAAACTGTTTTCCCTGGCTTGAAAATGTTGTAGATCAATTATGAATGAGATACTGTCAGTATGTTATTTGTGTGGAGTAGGGTCAAGATCATACACTATTCTGTTTTTGAAGTAAAAAAATCTCAACTTCTATATTGAGAGATATTTAATTTTTATTTTTTAACGTAATGACCAGCTTTTCATTAACAAACTGTTTTTTCCATAATGGTTGTTAATCTTACACAATAGTGCATTTTTATTTTCTTCCACATGTCAAAAAGGGATTGTTTTCTTATGTTGTCGAGTTTCTTCATAGTACAGTAAATGTAAAATCGTTGAGTTTTGTATAATTTTTGTGACTTTAGAATATATTGTTAACCAATTATGCCAATTTTAGCTCTTTAGAAGTTCTGAAATAATCAACAATTTACACTTGAGTTGGGAGTCTAAGAAAAGCAATGTTTTTAAATCCGGCAGGTTCGACAAGTCAAATCAAGACTCGGTAACGCTTCTGTTCTGGATCTCAGATAAAATTGGGAATGTCGTTCGATCGGTGAAATCCGGATTTAGAAAGTTTCCTGGTTGATGTCCAGAAAAAAAGGCAGATGTTGCAGTTATTATTTATAAATTATATAAACTAGGAAACAAACCCGCGCGTCAACGCGCGGATAAGATGTATAATTAAAATTAGAATTTTTTAAAAATATTATAAGAAATAATTTTAAAGTTTTTATTTTATTGTATATTGTGATTACTTTTTATGATGCTTCTGCCATAGCCTCATGCCATTCTTCATCACCTTCAAGTAATCCATGAACAACACATGATTTTTGAAATCTTTTATATTCTTTTTCATTTATAGTTAATATATCTTCAAAACTTGTAGGTCTTTTTAAGTGATTAATTAGAATTCTAAGATAATATAATTCACCAGACGAAGGATGAACATTATACAATTTTCCAATTGATTGACCCTTTTTCTTTTTGTCCATGTGTGATTTGATTTATTCCAAACGTACCTTGACGAAAATTGAACATATGATAAATTTCTGGCATCCGGATCTGATTTGTTCATCTTTAATAAGCCATAAACATACTTGATCTGCTTTTATAATTAGTAGCAACACTATTCAAATCACTTAAATTATTAAAAAGCACAAGGTTCTGACCAGGAAGATGTATGCTTAGTCTCTGGACCGGAGGATGTCGATGATATATCTCAAATTAAAAAATTCGCCACATCGATTCACAAGCGGATACATATCGACAATCAAGATAATTTTCAATCTCATTTATATCGTACTTAACTACGTTAGAATTAGTTGTACTGTTATTACCATTATTTATCAACGCCTTTAGTAATATACTTGATTAGATATTTAATTGCACTTGTTTTATTGCAAAATTCATCATTAATATGTGCTCGAAAAAGACTTAGTAGCTCTAAATTATGGGGAACAACATATTGATTATCTAATTTGATATCACCTTTCATAACATAGCTAGACATTATATCTCTACGCCTATATATAATGTATCCTTTCTCATCAATATATGATGAAAGACAATATGGCCGGGGATATTTTTTAGTGCAAACACCATTCTCCATACAAGAGTGATTTGGTCTATTAAGTCTACATGGTCCATGCATCATATGTTGTTCTACTAATTCATAACCTTCATGATCAATTACTATATCAAGCAATTCAGTAGTAACATATTTATCAATATCAATTGAGGAAGCAATATCACGTCCACATTTTAACCATATAAAAATATGTGCATGGGGGAGACCCCTTTTTTAAAACTCAATTGTATAAACTACTGCAGAAAAAATAAAAATAACAGTATATAAATAATTAGATTTTATCTGAATAATTTTAAAACTCAAACATAAATATAAGTACCTCCATTTATTGGTCCAAAAAATTCATTCTTTTTAATTAAAACCATTAACTCATCTAATTTTAAATGAAAAACTCGTGATTCATTATCAGGCCTGTCATTGGGCGATGTATCACCGGTAATTTCTATATATTCATTCCATTTAGGATTAGCAGTCATGGTAATAAATAAATCAGGATTTCCAAAACAACGACAAAGCGCCATTGCATCTTGATATTTTTCTGTCATATATCTTGGACTTCCAGTAATTGATGATGACAATATAATTCTTTTTCCAAGACTACATGGATCATGATCTCTCTTTGATATGACGTCCTTTACATTATTATATACATCAGTTCTTATTGCCTTTTGATTAAGTTTAATAAATGTCAGACGGCTTGCCTCAATAGACGTAAACGCATCTACAACATAATGATGAAATAATCTACCACTTTTTAGAATAGTGGATGCTTTGATGTTTCTGTTATGTATACGATATATATAATATTCTGTCATTTTAACATAACCATTACTGTGATCGGATGATGACTTTTGAACATATGGTATTCCTTCGAAGAACCCAACTTCTCCATAAGGAAATAATAATGGATATTGCAAAGCCATGTAAAGAGGATAAGTTGCCAAGATTCTTTGCAAATTGCCTGATTTATGTTGAAGAAGAACATCTCGTTCGCCAATAGTTTTAGAAAAATCACCGATTACTAAACCTGCTATCTCATTGGCTAATGGCAGATTATATTGTCTTTTCCTTTTATCATATCCTATCATATGAATTTTTATTTCACAAATATGACTACTTTCATATCTATCTATAACTTTTCTAAAAACTTTAGCGAAAGTGTTATTTTCATCAAGCATATTAATTAATGATGATAAAAAATTTTCATCTAATGAATTATTACCCTCTCGATTCATAATTGATAATCGATTTTGTAATTCATTAAATGTATCAAATATATACATCTGCAAAAATTTAGGCTTTTCACCATCAATTGGTAAAAGAGATACAATACTATGGTAATTTTCACCATGTACTTTAAAACAAAATGGACCACCAGAATTTAAGATTGAATAATCTATTTCAGCACCCATATAACACATAGAGAGCATTGAATTAAAAACTCTAATGTTTTTTCTTAAAAGTAGGATCACATAAAAGGTTGTTTAGCACAACAGGAGGCTCTTGTATATTAGGTAATTTAATACGACCTTGTTTACAACAAATAGTAAATAAAAGACGTTTTGTACTACGATCTTTTTTCGTCCTCTCAGCAAGCCATACTAAAACATTACAATCTTCACACCTCATTAATATATTATCTTCACTAACTTTTATAACTTTTTTTCTTGCCTGCCAAATATTTCATAATATTATTAAAACAAATTTTAATTATTATTAATTAATTATATAACAAATATGTAAATACCTTTATTTTTTTTTCTTCTGGAATTTGGCAATATTTTCCTTTTTAACCTATTTTCCAGAGAATAAAAATTACTTAAAAAAATAATTTAAATTAATTATTAATTAGTGACTGAAGTTTATTTCAACAAACCATTAGAGAATAGAGCATTGTAACTTGCTCTTCCAATTGCTTCAGGTCTTTCAACATCCATTAGCATATTTATACATTCTAAAATAATAGTAAAGTTAATATTAATTTTTATGATATTAAAATTATATACCATATTATTATAACAATATATATATATATATATACAATAAAAGATGTGTAAATACCTGCATCTTTAATTTTTAATGGACAACCTAAAATAAAATGGAATAAAATAAAAACAAGAATAAAAATTTATAATAACACAAATAAAACTTAAATCCATAAAAACAACAAGTTAAATTAATACCTCGTTCATTATAAAATTCTGGCATCCCAATATTTATATTTTCATTATATTCGTATTCAATTTCTGGACGCATTAAAAAACTATATGATTTGTGTTTTTGGAATACAGACATCTTCTGTTATGACAAACTTGAAGATTAAACCTTGCATAATGACACTTTCTTTAAAGAGTATTTCGACCCTTATCAAGTTTTGAGTTAGTCAAAAACATTTATAGTATAAAACACAGTAATCGAAATTATGATATGTGTTTTTCCAGAAAATGTTTATGATCTTTTAGAATAGTTAAACTCTCTCTTACTTTCTTTCTATCTTTCTTTGCTTCAAATTGTTTTCTGTTTTCTGCAATGCTCACAACTCCTTTTATAGGAAACCAAATGTCACTTCCAAATATTACAATGGTTGATTAGGGCGCAATGATTGATCATCAACTGGTGTAATGGTTAGTCACCGACCAATTGCAATGGTTAGTAACCGAAATGGTTGCAAATATTCATTTTACGAGTTGCAATAGTTTTTCAATATGTATATGTTATGCATGCATAATAAATCTAATCTTAACCATTAAATCTGGAAACAAAGATTGTTAACCATTCGATTAATTTTTTTTTAGCATCCAAAATGAAAAGTCACAATGGTTCTTAAAGTTGCAATGTTTTAAGTATGAAGTTGCAATGTTTGAACTATATGCCTTTTCAGATTACATCTATATTCATTAGAGAATGATGTCAGTAGTCAAATCCTCGCCATTAAATTTCCAAATCAAAACTAATCAAAACAACGTCAACCGTTAGATTTATCATTTTTTTTTCTACAAAAAAATGATGACATCAGCAGTTCAAAAAAGTTATTTTGCTATTATATATTAATTATTAATTTGTGACTGAAGTTTATTTCAACAAACCATTAGAGAATAAAGCATTGTGACTTTCTCTACCAATTACTTCAGATCTTTCAACATCCATTAGCAAATTTACACATTCTGAAATAATAGTAAATTTAATATTAAATTTTATGATATTAAGATTATATACCATATTATTATAACAATATATATATATAATAATAATAAAAGATGTGTAAATACCTGCATCTTTAATTTTTAGTGGACATCATAAAATAAAATAAAATAAAATAAAGACAAGAATAAAAATTTATAATAACACAAATAAAACTTAAATCCATAAAAATAACAATTAAAATTAATACCTCGTTCATTATAAAATTCTGGCATCCCAATATTTATATTTTCATTATATTCGTATTCAATTTCTGGACGCATTAAAAAACTATATGATTTGTGTTTTTGGAATACAAACATCTTCTGTTATGACAAACTTGATGATTAAACTTTGCACGATGACACTTTCTTCAAAGAGTATTTCAACCTTTATCAAGCTTTGAGTTAGTCAAAAACATTTGTAGGATAAACACAGTCATCGAAATTATGATATGTATTTTTCCAGAAAATGTTTATGATCTTTTGGAATAATTAAACTCTCTCTTACTTTCTTTCTATCTTTCTTTACTTCAATTTGTTTTCTGTTTTCTGCAATGCCCACAACTCCTTTTATAGGAAACCAAATGTCACTTCCAAATATTACAATGGTTGATTAGGGTGCAATTATTGATCACCAACTGGTGCAATGGTTAGTCACCGAACAATTTTAATGGTTAGTAACCGAAATGGTTGTAAATATTTATTTTAGCAATTGCAACAGTTTTTCAATATGTATATATTATGCAGACATAATAAATCTAATCTTAACCGCTAAATCTGGAAACAAAGATTATTAACCATTAGATTAATT